ATTGGGTGAGAATGAAGAAGAAAAAAAGACCCAAAGAAGGAGATACTTACCGATTGGGTCTGAGCACACCACTAGATCTAGGATTGATGTCAGAAATTAGGCTTCAATACAGCAGCAAGATCAGGATAAGCAAAGCAGAAGTACTTTTTGGATGAGAATGAAGAAGAAAAGAGATTGAAAGAAGGAGATGGAAGCAACGGTAAATGGTCTGGAACAGAGGAAATCGGGAGATGGAGAAGGAAAAAAAAGGGTTTGGGTTATAAATGAGGAGGTATAAGAAATCGGCAGATAAGGAGAAAATGGGTTTGGATTATAAATGAAGAGGTATATATAGTGGTTTTAGTCGTAAATTTATTAAGATATAAGGGTAAAATAAGTATAGCATGTCAATTTCATTAATTGGAAGCTGAAGCTCCCGCAAAAGCTTCAAATTCCTTACTTCTCAATTTTCAAAAAGTGGAAGCTAACTTTTGCTTCCCGGGAGCTGAAGCTCATCTCAAAAGCTAGGGTGTTTGGTGCAGCTGGACCTTTTGGACTTCAAAAGGTCTTCTGACCAGCTGCACCAAACACCCACTAAATCTTTTGGCTCTCCAGAGACTTCTTCCCCACACACCCGGCCTTCTCCTTGCTGCTGCACCGAACCCACCCTTGCTCTAGTATTTTTGTATATCCTCCGCCGTCAAGCCTACATGAACCCAAAAACCTTTGCAAACCTACAATCTCAAACTCATTTCAAACAGGGAGCTTCCAGGTCTTTCCCTCTCCGTCGACAGAACGAGAAGAAGTCTTCATTTTCAGCAATCCATATGCAGAGATATGGGGGCCATGAGGGGGCACAGGCCCCACTTAAAAAAAACTTTAGTCCATTAAATTAAATTTTTATTATTTCAATCCTTATTTATTTAATACATTTTAATTATTTTTTAACTATTATTTTTTTAAATATTATTTTTAGAGATTATGAGAAAAATGATAAAAATAAAAATAAAATAAAATATGATAAAAAATAAAAATTAATTGAATATAAAATTATTTAATTAATAAAAAAAACATTTTTTTGAGCTTGTCTAATTTGTGCTTAAAAATGCAATGAATGTATTTTTTTTATAATTTATTTACATAAAAATTAAAAAAATTAATATTCATTTTAACACTATTAATAAGTGAATAATTTTAATTAATTAATTTAAAGTCAAAATTTTATTTTTTATATATAAATTAATTAAAAAATATATTAATTATATCTTTTAATATGCATGCACACAGGTTAGAAATTTGTATTTTTATTTTTTTATCAAAATTTCGTTCCACCGCTTCCAAAAAAATTTTCTGGGTCTGCCACCAGGGCTTTGAAGTGTGGGTTTGCGCTCTGCGATCTGCCATCACTGGATGGATCTCATTGGCCCTAACCCAAAATTTTTATAGAGTGTCTTTGCTCTACTCTAGCAAAAGACTTAACCTGGCAAAACCTGATCACCGTTCGTTTGAAATTTGAAATCAGCATCTCGCTTAATTCGCTTGTACCAACAACACCACACCAGGCCATGGTTATGGTTCTAGGCCCCGAACGCGACCTGTCGTTTCCCTACTTGACCTCCGTTCGCGGACGTTTTGGTCCCGACCCTTCTTTCTTGGCCACCGGCAACCTTGAGAGAGAACTTCGCACCAAACAGGTTTTTTCTTTTTAATTTCCTTTTTCAATTAATTTTAGATGATGCCGACTTCGACTTGATGTAGTAATTTCCTTGCGAATGATCTCTTTTTGGATTTTGAATTTTCTTGGTTTGAATGAAATGGAATGGTTATTGTAATATAATCTTTATCAGTTTGAAATCATGAATTTCAGTAATTACTGTAGCATGAATATTCTAGAGCCTTTTCTCATATTCCCTCTCTTGTCTCATGTATTGTGCAGGTTGGCTTAGCTTTAACAGAAGATGAAAAGCATCAGCTTCAGAAGATGGTCGACCAGGATACCAAGATTTACATTGTACCTGCTATTGTTAAACTGTTATATCCTTTTTGTTTGAATTTTTTTGGACCTGGTTTGCAAATTGCAATGTTATTATGTAATTACAAGTTTCAGTTAAAGAAAGGGGCTGGCTGCTTGGTTTATTTTTGTCGTTCAAGTTCATTATCTATCTTGTTTCATTTTGTCTATGCCTGGTCTACGGGTAGAATCATAATTGTCTCTGTTTGATCTAATTTCATAGGTATTTGCTATGCAAGATGTTGATTGTCATGCCATGTATATTCAAAGTATATTTTAGTTTAATATGCTAGGTATTAACATGTTTCAACAAGAACAAGGTAAAAAAGAAAAAAGGAAATTGAAGTGAGAGTTTTTCCACTTTAAATTTCCATTTGGAACCTAATTTTGGAATTATATTGATGCATGAACAGGGAGGTATTCTGTCCCATTGTTGGTTGTGGTGCATGATTGACTTCATTGGAGGACTTTGAAAATCATTATAATGCGTGGTTCTTTCAAGCAAAAGTTGCTCGTGGTTTATGCTGTGGTACGTTTTCTCTCATTAACTTTGTATATTGTTGTTTGGAAAATTCTCTTATTTATTGTTAATTCGAGGTTTTCCATTTCTTTATGCAATTTCCTGCCTTGTTCTCTATTGTTAAGCAATTGTGTCACTCATATTTTCTACATAAATTGAGGGCCAAATGTGATGATTAAGTTTTCATCTGTTGGTTATCCAGAAAATCAAAACTATCTTATCTATTCCCTCATTGAGTATTCTTCTCACACTTACTTTGATCAACAATCTAGAAATCAGCCTCTACACCACCCTACCCGTCATTCACTAGCAATTGCAAAGAACCCCAAGTTAGAATGATAAAAAGGAAGCATTGAAGGTGAGAGTTAAGAAATTTGGAGAATGGTCAAGAATTATAATGTCGTTAGGTGGACCATAATGATACTGATCTGATCTGATGCTAGTATGCTACCTTGTTTATCCATGCATATTCTTTTGTTATTTTTTAATTAATTTTAATATTAAAAATTTTCTTCAATTCATTCAATATTTTTGGATTTCTTCAGTGTAATTTTGTTTAATGAATAATCTTCCTCTATTTGTGGGTGACGGGATGAGTGCCTTGTGGAAGGCTGTGGTTTGAAGTTCAAGAGCTTCAAAAGTTGGCAGCAACATCTGGTGGAAAAGCACAAATTCCCCACTTCGTTTGAGTTCTTCAAGAAGGCCAGGCCATCCAAGAAACAGAGGCAGAAGCAACATTGTAAACAAGCTTTTCATGGTAAGGATGAACCTCCCAGTATGATGGAAGTTGAAGATGAAACAATCAATGGCTTTGTTTCAGCAGTCTCTAAGCTAAAGCATATCAGTTTCAATTCTAAAAAATAATCATACCCTTCAAAGTAATTCCCCTCCAACTCCTTTAACACAATTTCTTTTGCTTTAGCCAATCATGCTGGTGTAGACATTAAGCCTAAGCTCTCTGGAGCCTTGTCTTTAACTCTCTCAACTCAGTCATTGGATTGGTATCAATCTTAAGTTTCAAACACTTAGCAAGACACAAAGAATTAGCTATTGG